CCAAGAAGGCAGCACATTCCTTTGCACGACTCAGGTGACCCTGAGGATACAGACAAACCTCCAAGTAGCCTCGCGACTCACTCAAAGGATGCAAATAACCAGCTATCTCTAACAGAATATCAACCCTTCCATTTCCCACCATCCAGTCAGAGCTGAAGAAGCTTCTTGGATGAGAAGTGAAATGTCTTCAAAAGAAAAAAAAACCAGAAAGTCCAGTTGCCTCTTGAAAAAAAAAAAGCATCTTCGGGACAACCACGACCTGGAGGACTCTCTGCAGACTTTTTAGCTATACAATTTGGGATGAACACCCTTCAAATGGTGTCACAGTATGAACGGGTTTCCAGAAAACAATTGCAGAACCATTTTCACCACTCAGGTGTGACCCTGAGGACACAGATAAACCTCCAAGTGGCCTCAACGACTCTCTAAAAAGGATGCAAATGACCAGCTGCCTGCAAGGAATATAAATCCTTCCATTCCCCACCATCCAGTCAGAGCTGAAGAAGCTTCTTGGATGAGAAGCGAAACGACTTCAAAAAAAAAAAAAACACCAGAAAGTCCAGTTGCCTCTTAAAAAAACAAAAAAGCACCTTTGGGTAAGATTCGCTGCCTTTTCTGGATGCCATTTTGCTTCAACTCTGCCCAAGCCCTCAATGACCCAGGATTGCAACATGCCAAGAATCACCTCTTTCTAAACGACGCACACACACACACACACACACACAAATCTCCTCCCATGTTTTGACTGTAACTCTGCTCAGAAAAGGAATTTCGACACAGCCAGGAGTGCCAAACGCAGCTCCCACCCTGCAACGGATTAAAGCAGCTGCCTCCCTTTTACGGCTGTGTGACTGCAGAAACTTTGCTGGAGGATGCCACGGCTGCTTTAAGGAGAGTGAGTTTGGGATTTTGATGTCTTTTTTTTAAAAAAACGCTCTTCTGAATCGAAGTGGCACCTCCGTTCAATTGCAGGAAGTCCTCGACTTAACCGCTGTTTTGTTTAGTGACCATTTGAAGCTACAATGGCTGCGAAAAAGGGGAATCTTTAAGCACTACAATGCTTGAAGTAATGAATGAGATATTGACAAAAATGAAAGTACCTTACTCATGGACAGAGGCTTATATCATCACTCTTATACCAAAAGAAGATACTGATTTACAACAGATAAAAAACTATAGACCAGTGGTGGCTAACCTTTTGGGGCTCCTGTGCCAAAAATTGTGTGCGCTTGCACAGAGAAGGCAATGTGTGCCCCCACCATGCCCCCTACGCATGCGCACACAATCCCCCCACCCCACCCCCGCCGGCCCCTTACCTGCACTGTGCCTCACAGCTGATTTTCGGCAGGTTTGAAGCCTTTTCCGGCCTCCCAGAGGCTTTAGGAAGGCTTCTGCAGGCTTTGCAGGCCGAAAACTAGGCCCGTTTCTTCACTTCCGGTATTTCCGGAAAAACAGGAAGTGACAGAACGGGCCTAGTTTTCGGCCTGAAAAGCCTGCAGAAGCCTTTCTCAAGCCTCTGGGAGGCCGAAAAAGGCCTCAATAATGGCAGAAAGACCTAAAAGATATCTGAATTAGGGATTCTTGCCTAAGAGGCAAATAAAAGACAACATGAGAATAATATTGAATATGTTGGAATACTATGATGCACATCCAGAGAAGCAAATGGCCTTGATGTTTCTAGATGCGAAGCCTTTGATAACGTAAATTGGCAATTTATTTTATTGCAAATGGAAGAGATGGGTTTTGGAGAAAGATTTACTAAAACAATTGGGACTCATGACCATTTTTCACGCACGTGACCGTTGCAGTCATGTGATCAAAATTCGGCCGCTAGGCAACTGACTCGTATTTATGACCGTTGCAGTGTGCTGGGGTCACCCTCCCACATCCCCTTTTGCGACCTCGGAGAAGCAAACTCAGCTTAAGTCAGACTCACTTAACAACTGGGGAAAAAGCGAGGTCACAAAACGGGGCAAAACTCAATAACCGTCTCGCTTAGGAATGGAAAAGTTGGGCCCCATGGTGGTCGCAAGTCGAGGACTAGGTCGTTAGCAAACAGCCCGAAGGGCGAAAACTGGCTAAGTTCTTGGCACAAAGCGTCTACGCAACCTCTGAAAAAGATGTTCTGGGTTTTGTAGGTGAAGAAGCTCCCTGAAGAGCGCCAGGAATGCAGGGCCGGAGACAGCTTGGGAGGCGGGATGTGGAGGTAAACGGCAAGCAGGGGCAGCATCAGCAAACCGACTTGGATCCACCACTCTTTCATTCTGGGAGGATAGAAGGGAAGCCAAAGGGGGGGAAAAAATGAAAATAAAAGAAAGCAACTGCCGCGTGTAGAAGAAAAAAATGAGCAGAAGCTGAGGGCGGCGTCAAACGAGGAACCAACCTAGAACCGTGATGGCAAACCTATGGCCCGCGTGCCACAAGTGGCACGTAGAGCCATTTGTGCGGGCACGCGAGCCCGTCAGAGTTACCTGCCTTGCGCATGCGCGCGCACGCCTCCCAGCTGATTTTCTGCCTGTTTTCATCTTCCCAGAGGCCTTGGAAGGCTGAAAAACGGGCCTTCTGGAAATACCAGAAGTGCCAAAATGGGCCCGTTTTTCGGCCTCCCGAGGCTGCAGAGGTTTTCGAGCTCCATAGGCCCTCTGGAGGCTGAAAATGGGCACTTCCGGTATTTCCAGAAGGCCCGTTTTTCGGCCTCCCAAGGCTGCAGAGGTTTTCGAGCTCCATAGGCCCTCTGGAGGCTGAACACGGGCACTTCCGGTATTTCCAGAAGGCCCGTTTTTCGGCCTCCCGAGGCTGCAGAGGTTTCCCTCAAGCCTCAGGGAGGCCGAAAAAGGCCTGAAATGGGCCAAAAATCAACTGGGAGGTGCACGCATGTGCAGTGCAGGTAAGGAGGCAGAGGGGGGTGTTGCACACACATGCACGGGGGGCGGGGGCGCATTGCATTGTGGGTGCTCATATACGCGTGTGGGCGCTATCGCTCACACGCACACTTTCGGCACACCACAACAAAAAGGTTCGCCATCACTGACCAAGAATCCCTCCTTCGTCACAAGCAGACCAAGTCCAACTTTCCTCGAATTCCGCTGACCCTTATCTAATTCCAAGCAGGTGGTGACCATTACTTGAGAATATTCCTGTGCATTAGGCCATTTGGCAAGAAATCAGTTTAATTGGACCTTCACTTCTGGACCTGGTCTTTCGCACCTGAGACCGCCAGCCAATTGGGAGTGCCAGCATTGGGAGCGAGAGTGACTTCCGACTTCCCGCCAGCTTCCCCAGTGACTTTGCTTATCGGAAGCTAACAGGGATGATGGAAATGCATTCCTTCTCCTTTGGCTGGCTCGTGGAACTGCCTGCCACTTGGCTGGCGGGGAGGAGATACAGAGGGAGCTGTGGGTTGCAAGGAAAAACTGCACTCCTGCTTCCCCATCCAATTCAGATTAAGAGAATTGGAAGGGACCTTGTAGGTCATCTAGCCCAACCTCAATCTCTGGTACAATTTCTGACAAATGGCAGTCCAATCTCTTCTTGAAAGTCTCCAGTGATGAAGCTCTCACAACTTCCAAAGGAAAGGTGTGTCTCCGAGAGTCCACCTCCCTTCCAGAGAGGAAGAGGGCTTACCTGTCGGACATTAGCACCCCACAACCAGACCTTCCTCACCTGCAGGCATCCCGGTCCAACCTCCCTTGAATTCCACTAACCCTTACCTAACTCCTAGCTGGTATCAACTCTTGGTTGAGAAAATTCCTGAGCAGAGGCTTTCAGCAATAAAGCAGTTTAATGGGACTTTCACCTGTGAACCTGGCCTTTTGCACCTGGTGCATGTCAGGATACAGGCAAGGGGTTGCTATCCTCAAAACAGCCAAAAATGCTGTTTGGGGGAGCAAAATTTGACTCCTTTCAGACTAAAACCTTTGCAATTATCCAGCATTAATCCAGCACTAATGGGCTGGGACTACAGCATCCATCATCCTCAGACAGGACAGGAATCCACTGAACTCTGTGAAATGCACCAACACACACACACGCACGTACTCCCCTAAGAAATATTTTTTCCTGGGCACTCTGAGTGCAAACCAACACTCCGCTCTCCACACCCCCAAAATGACTAAGAGTGAACCCCAATGAGGGGTCCTCAGTGTTCTCTCAGCTGGGTGGTTTCCCTGCAGACGTTTCATGACCCAACTAGGGAACATCATCAGTGCTAAAAGAGAGGTTTGCTCTGCATTGATGTATCTCCATCCTCTTCTAGCACTGATGATGTGACCTAGTTGGGTCATGAAATGTCTGCAAGGAAACCACCCAGCTCAAATACCCCCAAGGACCCCACAGTCCTCCTTCTCTACCTCCTTCTCCTCTTTCTTCTCCCCTCCTTTCTAGCCCTGATGATGTTCCCTAGTTGGGTCATGAAAGGTCTACAAGGAAACAAACAAGCTCAGAGACCCCACCGTTCAACCCAGAGCTGCAAATACTGTCCTTTATTAGTGAACCTCAAATCTTACTGAACTCTTTCCCCCTTAATTCAACTCCTTGGGGAGGGGGGCAGCCCCCAAAGAGGGAGGGGGTGAAGGTGAATCCCCCCACTTCTCTTGTCCAGCAAATGCATCACACCCCCTTTTTTGATTTGTTTGCAAGTTTCCCTCCACCACCCCCAAAAAATCCCTCTTCTTCCTTCCTTCACCCTAAAAAAAAAAAGAAATCCACCCCTCCCCCCCGCTCCCCACCTTGCAGAGAAAAATAAAACCCAGGGAGGGGGCGTCTATTCCTCCTCGCCCCCCCTCCCTCCACCCCTGTCCTGGGGAAGGACGCACATGCGCTCTCGCTCACCTGAGCCACAGTCCGGAAGA